CCTTTTTTATGTTGTTATTCTATCAAATGGATTTCTGAGCAAGAACACTTTCGCTTCATTTCTGACATTTTTCTGTTGATTTTTTTTTTTAAACTCGAGATGCACGAAATCGTGGCATATGGAAGATTTTTTGGCTAAAGAGTTGATCGTCATGTTGCCGGTATTTATTTTTCATTAAGCTATTTGTTATAATTTATAGTACTTGTTGGATTATATATCTCATATAAAAATCAAATCCATTGTGTTAATACTAAATTTATAACACTATTTATGCCAAACAACAGTTAAAACTTTTTTTAGGATTTAATCTAAGGTTGTGCTTAATCCATGTTTACATGATTTAGTAAATCCTACTGAACTAAATCTCTGAAGTTGCCAAGCAGCATCTAATTGTTCTCCTTCCTGCATGCATTTTGTCTGTCTCACTAGCCTTTTTGTTTGTTGTCTCTTTTTCTGTCTGTCCCCTTCAAAACATTGATCTCTTCGCTTCTCTGTTATATGATCCTTTTCCAGATTTTTCATTTTGTTGCAACGAAATCAATATTCTCCCTATCAGGTATGTAATTCATAATGCTTATTCATCATAAAACTTTAGCAAGTAATTAATATTCGGTTTGTTTGTAGTTTAACTGTTTAAATCAAGTTAAATTTTATTTGAATTGCATAATTTTAACAAAATTGTAATTTGTTCTATATTTTAGATCGAAGATTGCAATTGCCATTAGATTGACTAATTTGAAGATCAATCCGATCAAACAATCAAATTCTTACATGACCTGTAACTTTTACAAAATTTATTTTTCATTTAGTTAATCGAATTCTTAACCTTAATTTCTAAGCTTGAGCAGGTTGTCATTTATTGAGTGATTTATGAATTCATTGAATAGCGTTTGTTCGAAACTCCAATTCAAGTGCCTATGATAGAAGTCATTTTAAACATAATTCAACTGTCTAGGATTTTCTAATTTTTCTTTTGGAAGAGTATATTGATGCCTTGTTTGTCAAGATACCCCTATCTTATTGTTATTAATTCCTATTCCTCTTCTATTGAAATGTTTTGAATAAATTTCCAATATTTGACACACGTTGCCTGTATCTTGATTCACCTTTTAAAGTAAAAAATGCTAAAACTTTGAATAAAAGTAATATAGAGATTTGATTTTAGTAAATTTATAATCAAATTGATTGGTTTGACAAAGGCAGACATAATGATCTAAGATTAGTTTAATTTGAGCTAAATTAAGTTCTGATTAAGTCGTTAAATTGTTTATGGAAGTTTTTTTAGATATATTTTGGAAAGTTTGATTGATGTCGAATTTGATGAATTTATAGTTGATAGAAACAACGTAACAAATTGAATTTCATTCCGGTTATTGATTGAGAAGTACAACTTCAAATTATTTTATTTGAGGAAAAAATTGACCTCTAAACTTTTAATTTTATTCTATTAAAATTTTCATGTTGCTTT